AGGTGATGTTAGGCTTGTGTACGGCTGTTTGAGTTTCCTATTCTATTGGTACAATACTGTTGTATTGGTGCAATACATTAATAAAACTGTGTGCGTGCAAATCACCTTCTGTACACAATGGCTGTCTACTAACCTGTGTGGTCATATTACAACAGCCTCACGTATTGTAGCCAATCAGATTTTAGAACCATAAACTAGCCTTTTTATTTGACAATTATGAATGTTGGCTATGGTTAATGTCTGTTAATATTTCAAACGAGATAGTAGGTGACCAGTCTCTTAATAACTAAAAATGTATGGAATTGGTGAGTAATTCAGCAAAAATGTAACACTACTACACTTTTCTTGATATTTTCTTGATGCGTGATCACCGAGATTAACATTTTTAGTTAGGGTTTGATGATTTGGAACAGACAGAACAAGCAGTGTCACATTAAAAATTAAAAAACTATTAAAACAAAAAAATTATGACATTTCACATACTGTGCTATGCTTAATCTGGTTAAACAAGACTAAATATGTGCTCTTTAAATCTTCAGTTGTTCCATGTTTAAGAGCTGATAATGACCACGATTTGCTCAGAAAAGAGCATGGTGATGTAATTTATTACAGTAATGATCAGTTTGATATAGTCCTATAGCCCACTGTAGTTTATAGGACTTTGTAGTGTCATGTAGCTGGTAGCTGAGTAATATGGCAAAAAGTAAAATTACTATACTTCACAAAGTTTTCATGATATGATATGAGTTTTTCTGAAAGCTGAGAAGTTGGAACAGATTAAATAGTGCCATATTTTTAAAAAATCTATACAAGAGGTTAAACAGGACTAAACAGTTAAAAGCCCAGAGGTGGATTAAACAGCTGAAAGGTTTGAGTGCTGACATCCCAGCAAGAGAGTAAAATGTGTGGGTATGTTTTTATTCCCAAGATGGCACTTTTGTCAATTGTCCATTTACTAGAAATATTTAGAAAAGTTAAATGTCCCCAAACTTTTGACAGGCAGCGTAGCCCAGATGAAGCAGACATTGTTAGCTCTTATCCTCTGTGGCTGTAGTCTGTCTGACTACGATATGGCTCTGTGTCAAAACTGAGGCTTCTCTTCCCTAAAGCTCCTCCGCCCTCACGTTACTAAGCAACACGGAAGCGAAACGCGGCGACAGCGTTTTAGAGGGCCGTCTTAAAAGAGAAAAGAAAAAGTGGCTCACAACATGCACGCAAAATCCCAAAGGCTGGAATGCGACGCAGACTGTGCCCGTGGTACAGCGTTTTCTCAGAGATTTACACAGACTGCGCTCTCACTCTGCAGTTCTTCAGACTTTATTTTCTTTCTTGTTTCATGTCAGATGTTGGAATACTCAACACTGTCAGTGCTACATTTAATACCAGGATGACTGGTTCTTAAAACAGTTTGTGGAGGTCTATACTCCAGTTCTGGAGGACCCAATTTGCTGCGCATTTTGGTGCCCACCTGATTTACACCCCTGTTAATTGGCAGGTTTAGTGGGTGTGTTTGAGCAGGGGAACCACCAAAGTGTGCTGAACACCAGCTCTCCAGGACTTGTTGTTGCGCACCCCTTCTTAATAGCATTATAATTCTATGTACTCTGGCTTTCAAGAGTTTGGAATCTTTGTTCACAAAAAAAAAAAGTAGGCACATGTATAAAATTGACAACTTCAGATTTTAACTCATTTGTAGGAATGTCAAAAATGAAGGAATTTCAAATCAATCATTATGAACAGAGCTGTAGATGATTTCATGAGTGAGAAAGCTGTAGATCATTGAAAATGAAGTTATAATAAACTTAATGTCCAGAACCGCATAACTTACAAAGAAATTGCTATAGATAAATAGTTGCATCATATTTTTCATACTTTCTCAAAAACTCACCATGAAATACATTCTGGTGTGTAGCTGACATTATTTCAATCTAGCCTATTTTAGTATTGAATAAAGTCAATATTGAGTAAAATAGTAGCTGCTGCTGTTGTTGTTGTTGTTGTTGTTGTTGTTGTTACTATTGTTACTATTATTATTATTATTATTATTATTATGATGATGACAAGGGATTCCAGACTTTTGGGTAATGAACAGAACTAATAAATAAATTGTACAACAATTAGGGGTAGGTGCACCAACATGGTTTAAATCAGAGTTTAGGGCTAATCAAGAATTTTTTAATCCATGTTTTATTTTAAATTGAGTTGTGTTGCACCACTTATTTTTAAATATGGATTAACAAATCTTTAATTAAAGCTTTAATCTGCGATCAAAACCTTAGTAATTTATTTTGACTGTCCACCATGATGAATTCAGCATTACGAGTAAACAGCAACATTACTCTCCAAGGAGGAGACTCCCACTAATCATTGTAAGTTACTTTTTAAGTGAAAACTACCGCAGGACTACATTAGAAACAGCTCTCATGGGCAAAGAGTGAATTCAGATGTTTTAACAGTCCGTTATTAGACCCGGAGGCTCTGTGTCATTAGGGGAAGGCGTTTAGTCGGCACTGAAAAGACTGCTTAAAATGTATAGTATTTTGAACATAAATGCTCTTTTATTCTGTTAGTTGCAGTTTTACAGTAAAAGCTCAATAATTACTTAAAGCCTAACGCAGAGTATTATTAGAACAGCCTTTTAGCCTATTAGCTAACACTAGCTAGCTATCTGCCAAGCTGTTCATCCTAGATCAGCTAGTTCAACAAAACGGCATTCTTACCAGGAGTGTTTTCAGTCTTTTTTTTTTTTTAAACTAGATTTAACGGTTTGTGCAATATGGTAAATAGATAAACCTTAATTTAATCTAAGTTTAAGATTAATCTTTGTGCAGCCCGTCCTAAATCTCATTAGAGAGGCACAATTAAAAAATATAGCTATTATTAGCTAGTTAAAATACAGTAATTGCTTTGTGATTTATTGGGACATACTGTACTCATGAATAGTAGACAGATGTCAGCACTGCTCATGTTTCTGCTGTAACACTGAGGTTAACTTAACCATGAAGACCTTTGGTTTGTATTTCCTTTATTCCTTTTTATTAACATGTTTTTAGCCAGAGTTTTTTCAGTCTCAGAAAGGCTGCTGTATTGGGAAATTTGCTAAACATGTGCCGTTCGCTTCCTGAACCCTTACGGCAGGATGCGGGGAGCAGGCGCTTCTGTGCTCTATTTAGCACTGATAAAATGATTAATTAGCTCTTGTTCCGGATGAACAGACACGCTTGTGGCTGTGTAAAGAGTTATTTATTTATTAAATCAGTTATTTATTTATTTTTCCAGACATGATGTTAGACACACTGTTCATGGCAAAGCTGCAAAACCCAATTTGATTGAAAAGTTTTCTTCCACATTCTTGTTTTAATATGCCTAATCTGAAATTTCAGCGGGTGATGGCCCAAGCTCCCAGCCCTGAGCTGTAACTTTCATTCTCAAGCATCCCTGATCTAAAGAACTGCAGAGCTGATTTCTTTACTTGTTTATGTATGTATTTATTTTTCAGATTGTTTGTGCTACACTAAAATCCCAATAAATTGCAGAAACATCTTACGCTTGACATCAGTTCTTTACAGAAGTTCTTGGTGTTTTTCTGTGAGAGTGCGCACACTAGACGTTTAGACAGTGTTTTGGCTATGAATAAACACTCAGAATCGAAATTCTTGCTATTATCACATGACACTAATAAAGCTGATACTGGACCAAACCAAGAAATGTAGTGAAAAGCTACAAACATATGAAAATGTGGTTGGGAAACATGGAGATCATTGTTGTGCAACAAGAATTTTTTTTTCTTGCAAACTGGCATGTTTTTGTGAAACTGTAAAGAGAATGCCTTTAAACACTGCTTGCTAAGGCACTAAAGTTACAACATATGCAAGTATTTCACAGCAACCCCTCCCTGATACACTTCCCTTTACCTTTTTCCTCTCACTGTCATCGACAATTGCCTGATTCACTTGTTCTCAAGGTTTGGGTTAGGGGAAAGTTGAGGGTAATGGTAAAAGACTCCTTAGAAGCTACAGAGGTAAGCATCTTAAAAGACATTGTTAACAGAGGGGACCACCCAAGACCTCTGCTACCTCAGACTCAGACTAGGGGACATTTTGAATCATAAAAAATCAAGCATGCTTGAAAGTATCGAAAGGCCTCCGATCACATGGGAGCTCAGAAGGCTAAAGCTGGCGGTGTACTTCAGACGAAAACAGCGCATCAAAGACAGATGTCTTTTCAGTCAAAATGACATGTTTCTATGGTGCGGTGTGCATTAGATACTAAACAGAGCTCCTAATCATCATGATGTTTGTTCTGAGACCTCCTAACTATGATTGGTCTACATTGTAACAAATACTTGTAACACTATGATGTATCTTTTTGCATCAGCCAATATAAGCATGATACTTCTGAATAAAATTGGACTAAAACCTTTCCCCCAGAAATGATCAAACTTTCCCTGAAGGCCTAAAAGGGCATTTTTTAAAAAATTTTTTAAAGGTATATTTTAACAGTGTGTTCCAACAGTAGATGGATTTTGTTTAGTTCTTTTGTCGCTTTGGTTTAAAGATTTGTATCCCTGGTCATGCTACCAGATCATCCATGATGTCAGATTTAATCAAATTCCAGACCTGGAAAATGAATTCAGATACGAAAATTTACTATAAGGGGCTAACCAGGCAAAAAATGTGTGGTAGAAGCTAGCTTTAGTTTTGTTTTGGAGTTATAAGGCTAATGTAGCTAACAAGCAATAGAAGCTTGTACCCCACCAATTAGCACTTTGCAAACTGCAAGCGGAAGTAATCGCACATTTTCTTAGAGTGTGTTAAATAACCTCAAATACACTTCATTGTGTTTTCAAACACTGTGACTCTATAAAAATAGGCTATTATGAAAATGCATTTCTTTAGCCTTCAGATACCAAACATGCCTTGGCTGACAGCTGAGGAGAAGATGGTGAACCCTGAACTATTCCTCTAACACTGTTTTCTGACATTTTGTCTCTTGGGCAGGTTTTTGGCCGAGTTTCACGAAGACTTCTTTCCTGAGTCCGCGTACGTGTCGGCCACTGAAGCCCATTACTGCATGAAGCAGCCGCGGCCAGTCTGCTGAGAGACCACTCCTGTGGAGGGCCCCCTTCTGTCTTGCATCTTCAGTGTGTCGTCTGCACTGCTACTGACTGCCGAACGCTCTGTCATTCTACTTTTTTGACTTTTCAAAGCTTCTCAAGCCGCCTGGAGTCTGACCAACTCGCATTGTCCACTTTCTTCAGTTTGGCAGGACGACATCCTTTTGCTTTTTTAAATTTTATTTCATTATGCTTGAAGCTTTTTGGACATTGTGGCTTAAGAAAGGACATCCCTTTCTTATTTTTCAGCTTGCTTTTGAGGCCAGAGGGAGGCTGCAGTCTCTTCAGCAATTTCTTCTTTCGCCCTGTCTCTTAATGCTCAGCAGCTGTATTTTTCTCCCCAGCACTGTAGCGTTCTTGCTTTGGCTCCTCCTTTTGCTTAGTCAAGCGACGAAAGCGGCAAGAAAGACTTTATTCGGAGGTCCTTATGTGTGAACTAAAGAGATCTTGGTACCATTAGTCCTTTCTGCTGATTCCTGCAAGCTAGCTGTTGTTTTGTTTTCTCCCTGTGTTGTTGATCATTGTCTGTTATCAAGGCAAGTGTTCATTTGTTAGATGCCCTCTGTGCCATAGCTGTTACATTTTGAAGGATGTTCTCTTTTGTCAATAGTTAATGGGGAATCTCAGTTTTTATAAAAAAATTAGCATAAATAAATCGCTGAGGTGTAAAGTCATTCAGAGTGATTTCATGTGAGATGGTGCATTTTAGAGAAAGTTTTAATTTCTTTACAGTGACATTGATACAAAGCTGGTGTTGCCAAATATAGCCATTTTATTTACTGGGCAAAACAGCCAGTGAACCTACTCATGTCTGAGTTTTTATATGTAATGTTGATGATGATAAAACTAAAAAAAGATGTTTTCCTTGGGATCTATTGTCGTATGATGCCCTCTGTGTACCTCCCCACCATAAATAGCTTTTCAAAAATGCATTTTGAACTAAAACTTTATTTCAAGACTATATTCTCAGACATCTGGCAGCATATCCATGACCTCTTTATTTACTAACTTTCTGTGGAGTGTTAAGACGTCTGGTTCCTATCACCACCACTGTGAACAGTTCTGACTCCAAGTTTGGAACACAGCATTTCACACTAAACCACTCTTAATGACTTTGTTTCCATCTTGATGCAGGTATTTTGACAATTCTGCTTTTGTAATTGTCCTTTAACCATAGTACATTACTGATGTAGGAGCAGGCCCTCCGTCCTTGTAATTTATGTGAAGGTAAATTGTACAAAAACTGAAATTTAGTCAGCATTCATGCTCTAAAGTAGGGTAATTATGTTGCTAAATGTTGCAATTGCAGTATGCCTTGCAGTGTATTAAAATGCATTGATAAGACAGTATTGTGACTTGATTAAAGACCGGCCTGCATTATTTTGACCAAAATAATTTCTTTTTGTTGGAACACAATGCGTTCATTCATCAAAAGATTCAGAAACACTCTGGAACTGGGATACAGCACATAGTAAAAGCGTAGTGATTGACCATTTATTTGCATATTGCGGCGAACTCCGATCGAGCACTCTTAATAGAACCTGAATAATTTTGATAGAACCTGAATAGGTCCCTGTGTATAACAGACTTGAATAAACCCAAATTGTTCCACATTTTTCAAGATTAACTGCTGGGAAAATGTGCTTTCAAATCTCTTGAAGTTATTTTATGTTGCCATTAAATAGAAGAAGTATAGCCCATATAACATGTATGGAATGGTCCCTCTGTTTATCCTCCTCAGACACTGTTAGGCCTGCATGTCTGAGTTTCACAATGCAGTGGCATCGGTCAGACGTAATCTTAATGAAATCTCATGATCCTGTGGCTGACCTCAAATGTGTAATATGTAAAAGTTGCAGATGGGACTCAACAAGTAGGTTTTTTTTTTTTTTTTTTTAAATTACTGAAGAACAGTTTTATTAAAGTCAACATGACATCAAAATGGACCTTTATCAGATTAGTTCATGCTTCTAGTCATATTAAGCACAGTTCATCACGGTTCATCACAGTTCATCATTCAAAAGATAAAATTCTTGTTTTCCTGAAATGTACAAAATCTGATATTTGGTCAGCTGTCTTGTTCTAAAGCAGGGTGACTTATACTGTTGCAAATGCAGTATGCCTTGCAGTGTATTAACCTCTTGTTCACCAGGGTAAATTTTGTTTTTTCCATCTGAATTTACGTTACCAAATCATAAGGCAAATTATTCAGTAACTGCGTTAAAATAAATGTAAATTTGTATTTTTTTTTTTGTAAAAGCTCCCCTCAAACGAACAGAACGTTTTAATAATCATACCCATATTGCTATATGCTTACAATTTACTGCTGAAAGCCAAAAATCTTAGACGCTCTCTGTATTTTTTTTATAAAAATAATTTTTACAGAGCTGATCACTGAGAAGACGCCATCTGTTTATAGTTTATAGCCCAGATTTGTGGAAAAATGGGTCGACTTTCAGTAGACAAAAATAATTAAGTTCAGCTTCTTTTATTATAAGGGTTTAAAATTACATTACTCCTCTATTTGACTGGAAAGAAGACAGTTACAGGTCTCATATGAGCTGTAAGATTGGCCTGCATCATTTTTTTTAATTAATTTTTATTTTTTTGCCTATAATAATTTCTGTTTGTTGGAGTACATGAATATGTTGATTCATTGAAAGACTCCCAAACACTGGAACTTTTGTTCGCCTCTAGTATGTTTTCAGTGTTTTATATACGTCACTGTGGACCAGCGGGTTGAGGAAAATATTATTAACCAAAAATGTTTCACCTCCCTCTCCCAGCACTCCTACCTATCATTAAGATCACTCACAAACCCTCCCTCATGCCATATTTTACTCTAAAATATGTTACAATACAGAAGAAAAAAGAGACTTGATTTCTCTATTCATCTTGACTAAGAGCGTTCTCACTTCTACAGGTAAGCAGCATGGTTTACCGAGACTAAACTGCCATGTCAGTTGTGATTCACCAAATGTTCACCAGAAAGTTAACATTTTTGTATCTACATGAAGCAAAATAAGCAGCACATTTGTACCATGAAATGTGCAGAAATGATAAGGAAAAAGTGTAAAAAGGATTTTCAAGCTTTTTTTTGTTTGTTTGTTTTTTTTTGAATTTATTTATTTATTATAAACACAACATCCACTAGCACTGTGTGACTGAACCAGGCCTGGGTGATTTAATTAACAGTATTTTCTTATTTAAAAAATGGTGCCCAATGTGGTTCATGGCCTGTTGCACAAAAGATGTGCACTAACTTTAATTGTAATACATGATGTACAAGTTTAATGCGGAAGTAATGTAATGATGGCTGAGCAAATGTTGCGAGGGTTGGTTGCAATTGTTTGAATTTGTGATTTGTAAATTCTTCGAGGGACTGTTTCTTGCTTTTGTGCTTTTGTTATATATTACCTTATATGCAGCAGCCTAGGCAAGGCTTCAGTTCACATATAGGGTGTCTTGGCTTAAAATGGCATAGCTAGCTACAGCGCAATGGATAGAAAAATTGACCTGTTTAGCATAGCAGTTCTTTTCCTTGTTCCCAGGCCGTAAAGGTTTTTTCCTTTTTCTTTTTTCCTTTTTTGGCGCAACCCAATTTTTTTAGTCCAAAAAAGCTGACTACATAATCAGATTGGCCAAGAAGCGTTATGGTTTCTTCACAATTTACTTTTCACAGTAACTCTCATTACACTGCAGCTATCATTAATACATTTCTACTTCAGCAAACACAAAAGGAAAATAGACAAATTTGGTAACTTATGTTCCGTAAGATAATACTTGATCAGCAGTCTGTTTGGTCCGATTCGGAAGAAGTTTGTTCGCAGGTCTACATCAAATTCTGAACCTGTTGTTACCCGTTAGTTTTTGTTTTTGTTTTTTGTTTTTTTTGTTTTTTTTGTTTTTTTTTTCAGTCGGCAGCTGTGACTGTGATTTAAGCAGAATAAAACAGTATACCATTTGGCAAATGAGAGGGCCTGTGAATTGTTTTACAGACTGGCTGGAACAAAACAACATTCAGGTTAATCTGGGAAATTTTGAAGAAGCTGAGCTGAACCTGATATTGCAACAGTTTATAGCCCTATCTGTAACTTCAGGCTACTACTTTGGTAACAGAAGGAATTACAGTAATAAAAGCACATTTCTTATAACGTTCAGGGCTTCTTTGCTTTATTTTTGTTCTTTCTTTTTTTTTCTTTTATAAAATCAATAGAACACTCTGTCATGTGTTATTGCAAACAACTCCCCTTCGCCAAGTGTCTGTGACCAAATCACAGCTGTGATGTTATTTGCAATAACACTCTCCCTTGTGTTTTCTTGTTAGATTTTTGCACTGTAGTCCTACTGGCAGAAAATCTTTATCATATAATCTGACTTTTTAACCCGCAAGCGTAACTGATATTGCTTAGTCTGCCACTGAATTTGGCCAAGATATCAGCTGCAGCAACTCATGCAGTGTGACCTGCAATAAAAGTATAAGGCCACTGTTATCTCTGTAGTCTTGGGTCTTGGCTCCTGGCCCTTAGTGTTGCACTTGGAAAGAATTTGGTCATTTTAGGGCAAAACTGCACTGCCCTGATCTTCAAGAGCTAGGTAAAGAACTGCATATTGCTTTGCTCTGAATTTTACACCTTCCTTTGACACCACATCTTGAGCTTGTGTAAGCCTTTGCCTTTTTGCTATGCTCCAGATGCTAGATGTGTGAGGTTCACAGATGGAGATGGATGTAATGTTACCGAAGGGGTGCTAGAGCATTTAAGCACTGCAGATGTTCAGTTAAAACTCTTATTACACCCTAATGCAGTGTCTCAGTGCTGGTTCTCGAATGGCCCATTCCTGCACAATTTGATTCTTTGCTAATTTTTTAGCACACCTGAGCAGTTCCTGAGTTGGGAAAGAGGTGTTAGTGCAGGAAATACGCTCTTGAAAAGAAAGGCTCCTGATTGGTTCTTGGCTTTGAGTATGGGTTTAGGAAAACAATCTTAATTGGTATAAAACCTTTACATAATGTGGAGGTTCCTCACTCATCACATCTCCTTTACAGAAAGGATCCATCCATTGGTCTGTATTCATAAAGCTGAAGTGCTGATCTAGGAACAGATTACTCACTTATTTGTGACAGGAACAGATCCTAGATCAGCTCTCCTAATGTCAGAGGCTTTATGAATATGGGCCATTGTAAGTTTCTTTAGGGCTTTTAAACCAGTCCTCAGAACCCTTAGATGGTCATAAGGATGTGGACCATCTGGGGGTTCATGATGGTCCCACTGCTTTAGGGAACCAACAATGGTTCTTCTTTGGAGTATATTGAAAACTACAGGTGTAATTTCTTTAAAGTACAGTACAATCTCTTTACAATACACTATATGCAGTAATTAGTCAAAGGAATTCCCTCACATAGTGGCTATAGATAAATTCACCATTGCCTTTTCTTTAAGTGATTAACCATGAACTTTAGAGCTAGGCCTTCAGTTCAGGCTATAAGAGCCAAAACTCCATCAAAACCAAGGAAAATCACCTCTACTGTGATGATATTTTCTGCTAGTGCACCTGTGGGATTTTAGTACTATGTTAGTGCTAAGCTAATGGCTATTTACATAAACATTTTTTTGGCCATTCTAGATTAAACACGAACATTTGAAGCTTGTAAAAGACATTATATATGTTTTATTTGAAGCTTAACAATGTTAACATACATTATAACTTGTAGCAGTTTTACAGTGAATCGTTCAGTAAGGCATCCTGGCATTGAGTTGCTGCTGCTGTTTTTCATTTCTAACAACTGACTGAAACCTGGTCAGGCTACCACTGTGAAGAATCTAGGACTTCCAGAAGGCCTAGACTAGAGTAATGTTCTTCTCACAGAATTGATCCCACCCATTGGAAATCAAAACCATGATGGGTTAATTTTGCTGTCAGTTCTTAATTATATTAATGGTTAATCTCGCACATTAGGCCTTTGGTCAAGCTGAGGTCATCCTGATTTCAAGAACTGAACCCTTTTGTTTCCAGCCAAAACTTAACAATGAAATAAGCAAAATTCTATTACAATAAGCATGATAATTTTATTTAAAAAAAAATAAATACAATTTACAGAGTAAATACAAATTATTTTTTATTTCACAGAAATCATCAAGGCTTCCCCTCTGCTTTCTTCACTGTAAGATGCTGCTTTACTACCTAAACCTACTGCAAGATCTCTTAAGATTTTGCATGGAGAAGAAATAAATGGTTGAAAGAAACAGAATCATCAGTTACTGTGGCCTAATAATTTCACTTGATAAGATTACTTGAAGCAAGTATAAATATCTGGAAGTAGGTTTAATCTTATGCGCAGAGAGCTAGGTGAGGAAATTCATCTCACACAGAGAAATATTAGATTTATTGCC